AATAAGCAAATGTGTTAGTTAAATATAAATATTTACTATTACAAAAAAATTAATGAAATGAAAATACATAATCCATTTCTTTTCAACATTTTTCTTTTGCATTGAAACTTGAATCGAGTTTTCGAATTATGTAATAGCAATTTTGGCAGATTTGATTTTAATACGTACGACCTAATTTATTCATAATATTAAAAAAATAATACACTAATTAATACTCTTAAACATTAAAATAGTCACCAATTTAGTCATTTTATATCAGTTTTTTCTGATAATTAAAAAAAAAATTAATTATTGATTAATTTTATTAACATGAAATGGTTTGGGAGTTGAAATAAATTAGTTGACAACTATATTTCCATATTCTTTTCTTTTTTTGTGAAAAAATCACGGATAATAGTTGCAATACCAAAAATGACGCTTGCGGTTTGATAAACGAAATTTCGAGAACATTCATACGTAAATCAATGGAAACTTCGAGATTATTTGGTAGTAGAGTTCGAGATGATTTTGGCAGTTTCGGAAAAATTAAAAATAAAGTTAAAACTAATACAATTATTATTCTGACCTTGATTTGCTGAGTGTACACTTTTTTATGAAATCCTTCCCTTACTTTATATATGAGAATTAATGATACAAACAATTGCTGACCCGAAAATTGTATTTTTTTATCTTTATTGATACCTCACTTTAAGTATAATTCTAAAATGTTATGTTTTTTTTAATTTTTATTTGATTTAGACATGTTTATTTAAGTTTTTAAATCAGTAAAAAAACATTCCTGTTTCTGTGAAATAACAGATTTTTGAATAATAGTTATTTATTTTTTATAAAGTCAAATTAGCGAATATTAGGAAATATTCTAGAAAGTATGTAAACCGCACTGCCTTTGTGAAAAATATATTCTAGAAAATGAAGAGAAACTTAAACAAAATAAAATGGAAACTTTTATTTAGTCATTTTTTATCTTCATGTTTAAGAAAACAATGATTGTAGAATCAAATAATACTGTTAAATAGCTAATAAGTATACAGGGTAATCTACAATAATTAGGTATAACTTTTTTGATAAACTAAAGAAATGTATTGATTATAAATGTAAGTTTACTATTGCATACTAGAATTCTGTTAATATTTCACAAAAATACTGTAATATCTCTTTGAAACCAAAATAATAAAGTGTTGAAATACATTTATTTTATTACTTACAAATACATAATTCATTCACTGATTTACCCAAACAAATACAAAAAAGGGTTTACGTTTAAATTGAGCATAAGTAAAAAATAAATACTTAAATAAATTTCATTGCAATGGTTTTCACATTTAAAATTAAAAATCTTATTCATCAAGAATGTATATTTGGCAAAATAGATTCAAAGTTAGGATCATTTTGGAATAATATAACTAAATTATTACGTATTAATTAATTTTTCTGGAAGAATTTTTCTCGAAATTGTGTGGAAAAGGTCAAATAGAACACTACGGAAGTTTCGAGAGTATTCGGTAACGGTCGATACACACACGAATAGAAGATTCTTGAATGAACACTCGGGAAAACTTCGAGAATATTCGGGACGATTTCGCCGTTTCATATATAAGAGCGCTGGCGCGGCGCGCTGTCAGTGTAGTTTGAACAAGTAAAGCGAAAGCATCAAAGCGAATCAAAAGCGATCAAAGCAACTTTAATCAACTTGAGTGAATTGTTTTTTATTAGTGAAATCAAAGTAAATCCAAAAGTGCAAAAATGGTGAAATCTCCAGCAGTTGGTATTGACTTGGGAACAACCTACTCCTGCGTYGGAGTGTGGCAACATGGAAAAGTCGAAATCATCGCCAACGACCAAGGTAACAGAACAACCCCAAGTTATGTTGCCTTCACCGACACCGAGCGTCTTCTCGGAGACGCTGCCAAGAACCAAGTTGCCATGAATCCCAACAACACTATCTTCGACGCAAAACGATTAATCGGAAGGAAATTCGACGACCCGAAGATCCAGCAAGACATCAAACACTGGCCCTTCAAAGTCATCAACGATTGTGGCAAGCCGAAAATTCAMGTCGAATACAAGGGAGAAATTAAGAAATTTGCACCGGAAGAAATTAGTTCAATGGTGCTRACGAAGATGAAAGAAACAGCTGAAGCTTATTTGGGAACTAGTGTGAGGGACGCCGTCATCACAGTCCCAGCATATTTCAACGACTCCCAAAGACAAGCCACGAAAGACGCCGGAGTCATCGCTGGTTTGAATGTCATGAGGATAATTAATGAACCGACAGCAGCAGCWTTRGCTTAYGGTTTAGATAAGAACTTGAAGGGTGAAAGAAACGTCTTGATCTTCGATTTAGGTGGAGGTACTTTCGACGTATCYATTTTGACTATTGACGAAGGATCGTTGTTTGAAGTACGAGCCACTGCAGGTGATACCCACCTCGGTGGTGAAGACTTCGACAACCGTCTTGTCAACCACCTCGCCGACGAATTCAAACGCAAATACAAAAAAGATCTGAGAAGCAATCCGAGAGCTTTACGACGTTTGAGAACCGCCGCTGAAAGAGCGAAACGAACCTTGTCTTCGAGCACTGAAGCATCGATTGAAATCGACGCCCTCTTCGACGGCATCGACTTTTACACCAAGATCAGTAGAGCAAGATTTGAGGAATTGAATGCTGATCTATTCAGAGGCACACTTCAACCTGTGGAAAAAGCCCTCACTGATGCTAAAATGGACAAAGGAATGATTCACGACATCGTCCTCGTCGGCGGTTCCACTCGAATTCCGAAAATCCAACAACTGCTCCAGAATTATTTCAATGGAAAATCGCTGAATCTCTCGATCAACCCCGATGAAGCCGTAGCCTATGGTGCCGCCGTCCAAGCAGCTGTTTTGAGCGGTGAAACCGATTCGAAGATCCAAGACGTGCTTCTCGTCGACGTAACACCACTCTCACTGGGTATCGAAACCGCCGGAGGTGTCATGACGAAGATTATCGAACGCAATGCAAGAATCCCATGCAAACAAACTCAAACCTTTACCACTTATTCCGACAACCAACCGGCCGTCACCATCCAAGTCTTCGAGGGTGAAAGAGCCATGACGAAAGACAACAACCTCTTGGGTACTTTCGATTTGACTGGAATTCCACCAGCACCACGTGGAGTCCCGAAAATCGAAGTTACTTTCGACCTAGACGCCAATGGCATTCTCAACGTTTCTGCCAAAGACACAAGTTCCGGCAATTCTCGCAATATTACTATCAAGAACGACAAAGGAAGATTGTCRCAGAAAGACATCGACAGAATGGTATCAGAAGCGGAACAATATAAAGAAGAGGATGAAAAACAGAGACAAAGAATTGCCGCCAGGAACCAACTCGAAGGCTACATCTTCCAACTCAAGCAGGCTGTATCCGATTGTGGCGACAAATTGTCATCAACAGACAAAGAAACTATAACAAGGGAATGTGATAGTTGTTTGCAATGGTTAGATGCCAACACTCTTGCCGAGAAAGAGGAATACGAAGATAGACAAAAACAACTGACTCAAATCTGTAGTCCGATTATGGCGAAATTGTATCAACAAGGAGCCCCTCAAGGGGGACAACAGATGCCCGGAAGCTGCGGACAACAAGCTGGCGGTTTCGGAGGACAGAGACAAGGTGGACCGACCATTGAAGAAGTCGATTAAGTCGTCGAATAATAATTTTAATTAAGATCTGTTGTTGTTATATTTTGTAAATAGTATTTTTTAAAATTAGTTTAGCTATTACTTAAGTAGGTAGTGACTGCATTAAGTTTCAAGACTGATTTGTTTGTAAATTATTTAAAAATTTGTAATAAATGTTTTAATTTAAAACTAAAAATTTGTTTCATTTCTAAATTCATCATAAATGGATGAATTAATTCTTCAAAATAAACATGCAACTCTATTAATATTAAAATAATGAAAAATTAAGAAACATTATCGTATATACAGGATGTTTTCACATAATTTTACGAGGGCTGGGCCTGTAAGATGCAATCAATAAATAATAATACATATTCCGATACGAACTCGATTACAAATTTTGAAAAATTGTATAATTTTCTCTAGTTTGTTCACCCTTTCAAAAATTACAACGTTTTTAGTTAGTTAGTGGTTAAGATAGATAAACTACAATCATATTCATGCCGTCTCTTGATAGAAGAAATGATAATTGTTTCTGAAAAACTGCAGTTTATGACTATTAACGAAATAGTGATTAGTTTGACAACTACTGTCATGGGTTTCCAAAAATTAAATAATTAGATGTGTATTTTTTGTATCCAGAGTTTTGTGACTTTTGTATATTTGGGTGCGTACTTTAGGCGCAAGCCTCGTAAAGTTGTGTGAAACACCCTGTAAAGTCCATGATCAATATAAAATAAAAAACTTACCGCATTAGTTAAAGCCTTGGCAGTGTTAAGAGCAAATGGACTTTCCTTAGTATGTCCATCCGGAATATAAAACAAAATAATTGGCTGCTCCTTACAAGTAGCCAAATCCATAGGTTCGTAAGCAACATCAACCCTAAAGAAACCGCGTCTTTGCAACTGAATTATATCCCCCTTCTTCAACTTCTTCAATTCAGGATCGCCAATCATTTGAAATTCTTTCTGCAAAAAAAAACGAAATTCAATTCATAAAAACCCAACAAAATTAACATCAAACTTACTCGTGTTTCGTGCCCAATAAACTGCTTAAAATCTTCATCTTTTCCCAAAAGCGGTTTACTGATTAAATGATCAAAATAAACACACCAAGTTGGTGTAAACTTCGCGTTATTTGTAACCGCTAACCATGTCAATTTCAGTGTTTTCTTATAGTCTTTATTTTCCAAATTAGATTCAGCCTCAATCGAAGTAATAACATTTTTCTCCTTATTGATTTTCTTAATGAGCAAATTCCCCCAATTAATAAAAGTCGCATTTTCACCTTCCTTTAAACACTCTGCATCGACTCTATCAATAAGAATTTTCGGCCCAATCCACACTGATTTATTCCCAACGTCAGTATTTTTTGGATGTTTGGGAACAGAAAGACATTCTTCTTTAACTCCTCTCACTGTGATTGTAACAGGATCTTTGAAATCAACCGCAGTGTAACGGGGAGCAATAGGATCGATAACTTTCTTATTAAACGCCCAAATTTTGTCCCACTCCATGAAAACGACAGACCGACTTGAACCTTGGGCTATAATAAATTCTTTCAATCCTTGAACAGTCATGCCTCTCCTTAGTACCCCCCTAACGGTTGGCATTCTGGGATCATCCCTTAACAAACAAATAAGTTATGTAGTCACACAAAATGTACAGGGTGCTGCATTTTGGATGTCCGAATAGGGAATCTCCGAAACTAAGAGGTTTAGCCAAAAACGACTAATACATTCTGGGGCTCATTTTTTGAGGAAATAATATTGGTTAAAACCGCATCCCGCTATCATCTTTTGTTTTCGACTTATAGACAAAAATTGACATTTTAGCGAAATCTAAAAAAATTCATATCTTCGTTTTTGTAGAAGATACGGATTTGAAATAAAGACGTTATACAGGCACTTTTTTACGCAGAATTTAATAATGTAGTTAACAATTTTTTTCATTTGTTTGATTAGCCGTAATAAAATAAACTTGTATTTTTTTTATATGAGAATCATAGATGGCTATGTCATTTTTAAAAAGTTTGTTTTTTTCTTATCTAAAAATATATTATTTGTAACAAATTATTATAATACATTTTTAGTAAAAAATTATCTTTCATTTTTGTTCGCAGTTGGCCATGAAAAAATGTGGCATCTTCAACTAAAAAGATTTAAACTATATTATTCAACCAGTGTCACTAATGAAAGAGTTTTCTAAGTACTAAGTAATGAAAAAAATTCAAATTAAATCGTAAATCAACTTAATGGCGACTAATAACATTTCTTTGTTTTTAAACAAGCTAACATTACCATTGCAACTTCTAGTGATACATAGAGTGTTGTAAAAACAAGCCGCTTTAATTCTTCAATAAAATATATTTTATATGACACAAAAATGACGATATGGCTATTCAAATAACCAAATTCCGTCTATGTGGAACGTTTTCCTACCTCCATTAGATCATCAAAAAATTTTTTTTCTAATTGTGTTGACTGTTGACACATCTGTTTTTACTATTTTTAGATTTTTTAAAAATATGTAATAATTTTGTTCTGAGGCGCTCGCATATTTGTTCAATACTTCTAACGTATCGTATTTTTTAAATTTTTATAATTTTATCAATTTTTTCATCTATTTTACAGTTTACAAAACTTATTGATTATTATTTACACATTTGGAGTGAAATAGTTTTTCCATGGCCAATTATTATCAAACAAAATATGTATTTAATTTTTAAAGTATAATTATAAAAAATATTCTGTTACAAATATATATATTTTAGATCAGAAAAAAAATAACTTTTCAAAATTGCCAGAGCCGCCTATGATTTCCATTTAAAAAAATACAAGTTTATTTTATTACGGCTAAACCAATAACTGAAAAAAAAATGTTAACTACATTATTAAATTTCTCGTAAAAAAGTGCCTTCCAATGTCTTTATTTCAAATCCGTATCTTCTATAATAACGAAGATATGATTTTTTTTAGATTTCGTCAAAATGTCAACTTCTGTCTGTAAGTCGAAAACAAAAGACGATAGCGGGATGCGGTTTTAACCAATATTATTTTCTCAAAAAATGAGCCCCAGAATGTATCACTCGTTTTTGGCTAAACATCTTAGTTTCGGAGATTCCCTTTTCGGACATCCAAAATGCAGCACCCTGTATAGTAAAATCGTTTTCCTAAGACCTACTAAAAATTTTATGACACATTATAAGGAATTAACCAAACAATGGCTTGAATTTGTAACCCTCCATAAATGGCACATTCCTTTGCAATAGTTGCTGCACCCACTAAAATAAAACAGGGCCGTATTTAAAACCAAAGTAGTGGTAGAGTTTTATCAAGCTATTATTTAAAAAAAAAACAGCTTTATTTGATAATAGCTTTTTAATAACCACCTGGCTTTTTTAAATTTCTAAGAATACTTGACTTTAATAACAACTACATCAAAAACTATTAAAATATTTCAAGTATTTTAGGCAAAAAGAAAGTAAGTAATCCGGCCCTGTTAAAAACTGACCTGTTTCCTTGGTTCCACTAATTTATGATTTGTTTACCCTCTGGTTTACTCTTAACAATACCGCATTTAACTTAAAAGTAATAAAATTTTTATAGGTCTTAGGAAAACGATTTTAATATAAAAGCAAACAAAACCCACCATCCATCCACAAGTCCCTCATTGACAAACCAAGTCAATTTTCGTTTACTTAAAACAGTGTTGGTCATTGAGAGTCTACTATACTCCCAAATGTAAGGTCTGCGTAAACCTAAAGCTTCAATAAACCAGTAGAATTGAGGATCGCGATCGTGGTATTCCATGGTTCGCAACACGTGAGTAACTCCCTCAATGGAATCGACAATGGGACAAGCAAAATCGTACGTTGGATACACTCTACAATTATTTTTCATCAGAAAAAAAAACAAAATAAATAAACACTGACTTGTATTTATCTCCTGTCCTGGGATGGGGTTCATTCTTGCACCTGTAAATTGTGGGGTCCCTAAGACATCCGTTAGGTGACTGCATATCAATTTTAGCCCTGACACAACACTGTTGACCTTTCTGTGTCCCTTTTTTCATTTCCTCCCACAATTTTAAATTTTGTTCGTAGGCTGTGAAAAATTAAATAATAATACTCAACAACAAAATAATACGTACTATTATTTCTACTAGCCGCTTCAATTTTTTGTTCCCGTTGCATTTTCATTGTTTCAGGATCAGTATCGTCCACATAGGCCTTGCCCTCTTTCAAAAGCTTCTCACAAAATTCCAACATTAAATCGAAATACTGTGAAGTATGAGTGAACATATCTGGTTTCAACTCCAACAAAGCAACATCTTCAAGGATGACTTTCTCAAAGTGTAAATTTTCTTTCGCGGGGTTTGTGTCATCAAAACGCATCACAAGCTTTCCATTGAAGGCCTCTTGGTAATACTGGTTGAGGAGGGCCGCCTTAGCATGACCAATATGAAGATATCTTCATAAAATTGAAATAAAATTAATTTTAACATTTTTTATAACCACAAATTATTATTAATAAATTAAGGCTAAAGGGGACGACAGAGTTAAACCAAGTGTGCGACAAAGACAAAGTATATTGCTTACAGTTTTAAAGACATTTAGAATATTCGTCAACGTAACACTTTTTTGAAAAAAAATTATTTAACTTTTTTTTATTCAAATTTTATATAAATATTCATAATATTTAAAAAAACGCCTAGGGGAAAGATGTACTGTGATGATACGAACAGAATGCGATCAAAAAACTGCAAAAATTATTATTAGTTTTTGACGAAACGCGAATATTCATTTCACTTTGACAAAATATGCTCTATTAGAGTGAAGAGATACCTAAAAACTTGAAATAGCTCAAAGCTGGTAGTGAAAGATGCGCGCTTTGTTAGGGGCTAAGATATAAGTATGTACCAAATTTGTCAGAGAAGAGTTCAGTTACATTCAAATAAAAAAATACAAAAGTGGAACAGAAAGTAATAAATAAATGTCATAACTTTTTTCAATGTAAACAAATTTGAAATCAATCAATCAAGCAATTTCTTTTCTATTCTTTTTCTGTTTTCCTTATTTTCATTGACTTGCATAGCCTAGGATCTAGTATTTCTGGTACTAAGACCTTTTGCTAAAAATATTTTATCTTGGGTAAATTTTTTTCTCATAACTTGGGATCCGGAAAAATGCGACCAATCGAAATATTTGGTTCTGCTAATAAAATACAATCACAATTTTTTTATTGGTGACCCGTAATTGAGTTTGGACCTGGTAATAATAATCGTGTTGTTTTTTTCAATTTATTGTTTTTGTCTAGATAAAAATGAGGTCTATCTCTTATGGCTTCTTCGATGGTTTTATTTTTTGCAAAAAAAGAACACTGAAAGGAAAAGGAAACTGAAATATTTTCTACATGATAAAATTCTTTGAATTTTGTCTGTGGTATTTGTGAAAACAGAATAATGATAAAGTTGATAGGTTTTGAATAATTAACATTTTAATATTGAAAATCTGAAACTTGGAATAATTTATGGGAGGGTTTGCGGTAATTGGTGATCAGACCAGAATTTCTTGAGAAAAGAAAAAGTCCCACAATGACATTTATGACGTACCCAAGCTGTATTGTCAATGCATTAGCAGCACATCATCTCAAACTTGGCTATAAATTTCCAAAATTCCCATTTTTCAATATTAAAATGTTAATTACCCAAAATCTATCAACTTTTACATTATCCAATTTTCATAGTGACCATTAGAAAAAATCAAGCAATTTTATCATGTGGAAAAGATTCCAATTATTTTTTTTTCCAAATTTGGTTTTCAAAGTCCCACTGACTTACGCAAAAAATTTTGAACAATATTAAAGCATCAAATTGAAGTCTATATAATCCTCTATTGTTTGCACTAGCAATTTTTTTTTTAAATTAATTAGAAATATTTATTTTTGCGCCGAACCTAAAACCACCTGGGACACTCTGTATAGAAACAATCGAACTAAAGGAGCTCAAAAACTGGTTTTTCTTCTTTTAATTATTTTTCCTATTTTCGAGGTGGTGATTCTATACTTTCTTTCATTAAACCAACTGTCAGATCCACTTTGTTCCCTAGTAGCGTTTTCGATAAAGTCTCGTTTCTCTTCTGTTACATTCAAACTTGCTACAAAATCTCTAACTTCTTTTTTGAGAATACTTGAATTCAAATCGGGTTGTTTGCAGTTTTCTCCGTAGTCTTCTTGGTCGTTTCTAGTAGGTAACGTTTTATTTTTTCTAGCTTTTTTCTAAGAGAAAAAATTCACTTACGCAATATTGTGACCAATTATTGGTTCCCCAAAATCATCATCAACAAAGTTGTTATCACCTGCTGAAGCCCTAATCGTGTGATCTTCACTCTAGATTTTTTTCATTGTCACATGTCAACTTAATCGCGAATTCAAATATTTGTTTGTAATTAATTGATGTAAACTGACCTCAGGAAATTTGGTATAAGAGTTTGCCTTATTTAAAAATAGCGTATTCTTGGGTGGTGGTTGCTTCCAAACATTACCTCCCTCACAATTGCAACAAGGGTAGGGCAAAAAATGCGGCGCGGCGATACAAAATTCGCGTTTTGATGACTTTGCCGTTATCGAATTTCAAAAATAAAAACACTTTTCTTTTCAGTAAAAAATGGTGATTCGTCGCCCTACCTTGTTTTTTCAAAAATATTTTCTATTACACGTGTTTTTAATATTTTTTTCAAAAAAAAACAAACATTAAAAAAGTGTTACGTTGACGAGTTTTCAAATAATATTTTATGTCTGAAACTTTTTTCCAATTATAAAAATTGTGAATAGTTAAAGAGAAAATAGAAATATAAATTCCGCGCCATGTGCCGCTTTAGCAACAAAGTAAAACATGTTCCCCTTTAGCCTTAATAAAATTTTTATAACTACAATAAAATTGTAATTCTTTTATCGGAAAAAAAGTGATAAGAATGATAAAAAAATAGATACCCTGAAGCTTCTGGTGGGAATCTCACCACGACTTTGCCCATTTCAGCTCCTGGCAACTCAACAAATTTGCCCTCTTGAGCCCTATTGCCCACATTCGATTTGTCTAAAGACTGTCTCCCAGCAGGTGGTACCAATGCTGATTTAGCTTCATGGGGCAATGAATTCAAAACTTCGACAACAACTGGTTGTGACTGGAGAAAATTGTACCATCTCATAACATTAACTGGAGTTTCTTTTTTTGAAATCAAGTCTTGCCAAGGTCTGGAACCTGCACAAAATTTAGTTTTGTATATATTCAAATAGACGTGATTTTGACTTACTGTAGAGACTTGCAAAAACTGCAAAATCAGCAATTGTTAATCTTTTACAAGCCAGAAACGTGACTGATTGTAGAGATTTATTCAGCAGTGTTAAAAGACCTCTAAAATCATTTTTTGATGTTTTTAAACTCAGTGAGTAGGTCAGCCAATGATCGACTTCAGTTTTTTCTATTGGGGTGCTTCCATACAACTCATTTTCGGAAAATAATCTCGCAACAGCTCTCAATAAATCATTATTTGTCTCACAGAGGATTTTCTTGGAACAATTATCTATAACATTAGCATCGCCCCACTGTACTTCCAGTGAAACGTTCTTTAAGGTTTTTACATATTCAGCCGCAATTAAACCGCCTAGAAATAGTGGAAAGTTATTTTTATACCAAGTGTACTAATTAAACTCTAACCTAAAAGAGGGTTATTCTTGTTACAATTCAGCTTCATGATGCACCTGCAACACAAACACGACACTAAAAACCGACGAAACTTATTTTTTTATTGAAAAATTCAAGAAATATTGTGCAACAAAATCTCACACATGCACATCACACATGCCGAGCATAGGGAATTTGTACAGTTGGCGAAACTTGTTGTCAATGTCAAATTTCCGCACATGTGTCCAGGGTTGCCAGATCTGGGAATTTGTCCGAATCTAGGGATTTTTAAACTGTCTAAGTCTAAGTGATAAGGGATTTTTTCAGTTTTTTTACACAAAATCTAGGGATTTTTTTAGAATCTTGGAACAATCTTTTGGGAGACGCTTTTTGTTTGTTTTTGTGTTCAAGGTTTTAAGTTTAATTTTTTTTAATTATTCACATTGAAATGTAAAAAAAACTGAACAAAATTGTAGCAGCACCATTATCAATAAAAAGTTGAAGAAACGTGAATTTTGAAGATTTCAAATTAATTAATTATAATTTCAAATTAATAACAGCTATTATATTTTCCTATCAAAAATAAATACAACTTGTCACCTATGATTGACAGTAGCTAAAAATAAGTTGGTTAACAGTCCTAAAGCATGCTTTACAATTTAATGTCACTCAAGTGACATTAACGATCAAAGTGTTTTGTCTCCAACTGTACGGTGTACAATACCTAATATGTACAAAAAAACTGTTAAAAGTTTTGTGCATTTATGTAAATTAGAGTGTGTTAATAACAAATTTAGCAAGGTATTGTGGTAATTTTATTATATTTTTAATTTTTAAACTTTTTTTAAAAATTCGAAAATAAATTGTACTATTTTTATAAATATATGTTTGTAACTTTTTACTCCTTTTTATTTATTTCTTTTAAAACTGCTTTCAAGGTGTTGAAATGGCATCAAAACCATCATCTTCCAAAGCCATCGAAGAATATTTTTCATCAGAAGAAGCTGTAGCTTTGAAGCAAACCAAAAGGAAACGTAAGAAACAATTTTTTCTACATTTAATTTAAATAAAACCAAAATTCGAAATAAACTTTCAGTGGAAACATTAAGTGATTTTCTGTAAACAAAAATGTTGCTAAAAGATAACAGTTGTTTTAATTTCGAAATCGATTCTACAGTTGGAGACAAAGTACTTTGTCAAATTAGTCGTAAATTTGAAAAAAATAAAAAATTACATTATTAAAGATATTTAAAACAAAAAACTTTTATATTAAAATAGAATAAATAGTTATTTTCGATACAAGGGCGCTGTCAAACACTATTTTAATATAATTTATTTRTTTTTACTGCTACCCACTTTAAATGTACAGTTGGAGACAAAATACTTTGGTCGTCAATGTCACTTGAGTGCATGCTTTAAGACTGTTAACCTTATTTTTAGCTACTGTCAATAATAGTTGACAAGTTGACTGTACATATTTTTGATAAAATAGAATAGCTGTCATTAATTTGAAATTGTCATTCATTTTAACGTTAAAGCTTGAATTACATTAAAGTGTCAGAAAAGTGACGACTAAAGTATTTTGTCTCCAACTGTACTTTGTTAAAAAAAAATGAACAACGAAATATATATTTTTATGTAGTTTTATATTATTAACTGTATATACTTACATATATTCTTAGTTTTTATACTATTACGAATTATTATTATACAGGGTGAATATAAAGTATGGAACCAAGCGGTTTTATTTTTAATCATTTGCCTCCGGAAAATAATAATTAATATAAATTAAAGTAATATAAAAAATGTGATCGTAATTTCAGAACGAAATTTTGTTTTGTTTTTGAGTTATGCGATTTTTTTTGTCAAAATTGCAATTTATGTGAAAAAATTTTTTTGAAAAAATTAAAAATAAAGCAGATAGTTGTAATCCTTAGAGTATAGCTTTTATGAGAAAAATGATTTTATAGTGGGTTGCCATTTAAAAAAATTAATTTTTTTGTAGAACTCAAAAATAAAAGGAAATTTCGAAAAATTTTATTCTTGTTAAATCATCACATTTTTATAGTACTTTAGCACTCATGAATTAGTTTTTTTAAAAAATAAATCGTTAAAGCAAAAAACGTTTGGTTCCATACTTTTTATTCACCTGGTATGTAATTTTTATTAGTTTCTGTTTTCCTTAGTTAAATTAATAATATGTATTTAGTTTGTTCAGAATATATTTTACATTAATTGAGAAAGTTATGTTTCATTTGTTATAACATTTGTTTAATCAAAAATGTTTTTTGAAATTCTTATTTTGTTATGCAATCCAATAAACACCTAAAATTTAAATGCCTAGGGATTTTTAGAGATTTTTGACAACTAAATCTAGAGATTACAAAAATTTCACGTGGCAACACTGCGTGTGTCATGTGTCAGAGTTTATAGGTTAGAAGTTTGTGCAATTTGCAAAAGTAAATTTCTTACAAAAAATAAATAACAATGTTAATTTATACAAACGCAAACAATCCGGCGACTTTAAAACTTTTAATCGCTGCTAAATTCGCTCAGAAAAGTGTAGATATTAAGGTTGTAGATGTTAATGGTGAGTTGCATCATTTCCTGAATTTGCGGCCACGTGAATGCAATCTTTTTCCCAGATGGAACACTTGAAGAACCCAAACATTTACCCTACGTAAAGACAAGCGACAATGAGACGATTTTTGTACCAAATGCGGGCGTTTGGTGGCTGTGGCCCCCTTCACAACAGGCTGCAACAGCAGCAAGTGAATATCTGGAATGGGAAGCGTCCGTTTTGGCGCCCACTTTAGCCCCCGTCGTGGGGGGCGGCTCCAAACAAGAGAATTTAAAATCTTGTTTGAACTCAGCATTAAATAAATTAAACAAGGATCTTGAAAATCAGCCCTACTTATCTGATGTAATTTAAATTGAAACCAAGTTTGACCTTAATTTAATTTTGTAATTTTAGAAAAATTTGAATGCAAGTGATGTTGTAGTGTGGTGTACGCTTTACCCACTTGCGCTTGATGAAACTTTAGCAAAGGAATATTTATCTAATAATTTAAATATTTTGAAATGGATGAAAAGTGTGGAGAGTAATAAAGAAGTAGCAGAGGCTTTGGCTTCTTTTAAAATATCATCAGGAAATGCTGCTTATCAGGCGTTACTTTCAGGGGCTAAATTTATAATTAGTAACATTTCTACAGATAATAATGTTCAATCTCCACAAAGTGTGCCTGAAATTGTCACAAGTGACGAATTAGAGGCCGCAAAGAAGGCCTGGTTGAAAAATATTGAAGATATTCCCATGATGAAAAGTCGGCCAAAAGTGGTGTACGTATTTTTAACACTTTTGTTAGCTTTAGTGTTTATCAAAACATATTTTTAGATTACCTAAAATTAACGAAAGAAATATTTTAATTACTTCCGCTCTCCCCTACGTCAATAATGTCCCTCATTTGGGAAACATAATCGGTTCTGTCCTTTCTTCTGATGTTTTTGCCCGTTTTTGTCGGATTTGTAATTACAACACCCTTTTTATTGGCGGTACTGACGAGTATGGAACTGCTACTGAAACCAAAGCATTAGAAGAAGGTTTATCATGTCAAGCAATTTGTGACAAATACTACGCCATTCATAAAGATATCTACAATTGGTTTAACATCAGCTTTGATCATTTCGGTCGCTCATCATCGCCACAACAAACAGAGTAACATTCTTGATTCCATTCAAACTGAAAGTAAATTAAAAATTTTCAAGGTTGTGTCAAGAGATGTTTTTACAACTAAACAACAACGGGTTCATGTTCACCGAAGCCGTAGAACAGCTCCATTGCGAAAAATGTAACCGATATTTGGCCGATAGATTTGTAGAAGGGGGCTGTCCGCATCCAGGATGCAATTACGAGGATGCCCGAGGTGATCAATGCGACGGTTGCGGAAAATTAGTGAACGCAGTTGAACTGAAAAACCCCCGGTGTAAAATTTGTAGAAATACGCCAAAATTGAAAACATCCACCCAGTTTTTCATTGATTTACCCAAGGTACAGAAATATACTCGTTTTCATATTAACGTGCATCGAAGGAGTCGTTGAAAATGATCATTTTAAGGCTAAAGGGGAACATGTTTTAGTTTGTTGCTAAAGCGGCAGATGGGCGGAATTAATATTTCTATTTTCTCTTTAACTATTCACATTTTTTATAATTGGAAAAAAGTTTCGGACATAAAATATTTTTTGAAAACTCGCCAACGTAACACTTTTTTAATTTAAAAATAACAGATATAATAGAAAATATTTTTGAAAAAACGAGGTAGGGCGACGAATCAGCATTTTTTACTGAAAAGAAAAGTGTTTTTATTTTTGAAATGCGATAACGGAAAAGTCATCAAAACGCGAATTGTGTATCGCCGCGCCGCATTTTTTGCCCTACCCTTGTTGCAGTTGTGAGGGAGGTAATGTTTGGAAGCAACCACTACCCAAGAATACGGTATTTTTAAATAAGGCAAACTCTTATACCAAAATCCTGAGGTCAGTTTACATAATTTAATTACAAACAAATATTTGAATTCGCGATTAAGTTGACATGTGACAATGAAAAAAAATCTAGAGTGAAGATCACACGATTAGGGCTTCAGCAGGTGATAACAACATTGTTGATGATGATTTTGGGGAACCAATAATTGGTCACAATATTGCGTAAGTGAATTTTTTCTCTTAGAAAAAAAACTAGAAAAAATAAAACGTTACCTACTAGAAACGACCAAGAAGACTACGGATAAAACTGCAAACAACCCGATTTGAATTCAAGTATTCTCAAAAAAGATGTTAGAGATTTTGTAGCAAGTTTGAATGTAACAGAAGAGAAACGAGACTTTATCGAAAACGCTACTAGGGAACAAAGTGGATCTGACAGTTGGTTTAATGAAAGAAAGTATAGAATCACCGCCTCGAAAATAGGAAAAATAATTAAAAGAAGAAAAACCAGTTCTTGGGCTCCCTTAGTTCGATCGTTTCTATACAGTGTCCCAGATTTTAGGGCCGGCGCAAAAATAAATATTTCTAATTAATTAAAAAAACAATTGCTAGTGCAATCGATAAAGGATTATATAGACTTCAATTTGATGCTTTAATATTGTTCAGAATTTTTTGCGTAAGTCAGTGGGACTTTAAAAGCCAAATTTGGAAAAAAAATAATTAATTGGAATCTTCTCCACATGATAAAATTGCTTGATTTTTTCTAATGGTCACTATGAAAATTGGATAATGTAAAAGTTTATAGATTTTGGGTAATTAATTTTAATATTGAAAAGTGGGAATTCTGGAAATTTATGGCCAAGCTTTGGATGATGTGCTGCTAATGCATTGACAATAGAGTGGAGGCTTCACAATAGAATTTGAGTACGTCATAAATGTCATTGCGGAACTTTTTCTTTTCTCAAGAAATTTTCAGATTTTCAATATTAAAATGTTAATTATTCAAAACCTATCAACTTTATCATTATTCTATTTTCACAGATACCACAGACAAAATTCAAAGAATTTTATCATGTAGAAAATATTTCAGTTTCCTTTTCCTTTCAGTGTTCTTTTTTTGCAAAAAATAAAACCATCGAAGAAGCCATAAGAGATAGACTTCATTTTTATCTAGACAAAAACAATAAATTGAAAAAAACAACACGATTATTATTACCAGGTCCAAACTCAATTACGGGTCACCAATAAAAAAAATTGTGATTTTATTTTATGGGCAGAACAAAATATTTCTATTGATCGCATTTTTCCGGATCCCAAGTTATGAGAAAAAAATTTACCCAAGATAAAATATTTTTACCAAAAGGCCTTAGTACCAGAAATACTGGATCCTAGGCTATGCAAGTCAATGAAAATAAGGAAAACAGAAAAAGAATTAAAAAAAAATTGCGTTTTATTGATTTCAAATTTTTTTACATTGAAAAAAGTTATGACATTTATTTATTACTTTCTGTTCCACTTTTGTATTTTTTTTATTTGAATGTAACTGAACTCTTCTCTGACAAATTTGGTGCATACTTATATCTTAGCCCCTAACAAAACGCGCATCTTTCACTACCAGCTTTCAGCTATTTCAAGTTTTTAGGTATCCCTCCACTCTAATAGAGCAAATTTTGTCAAAGTGAAATGAATATTCGCGTTTCGTTAAAAACTAATAATAATTTTTTCAGTTTTTTGGTCGCATTCTATTCGTATCATCACAGTACATCTTTCCCCTAGGCGTTTTTTTAAATATTATGAATATTTATATAAAATTTGAATAAAAAAAAATTAGATTTTTTTTTCAAAAAAGTGTTACGTTGGCGGAAATTCTAAATGTCTTTAAAACTGAATTCAATTTTTTGATTTAAAATTGGATCAAAAACATCGCTAAAAACAGCCAAGTAAATTTGAATATAATTGTCTTTGTCGCACACTTGGTTTAACTCTGTCGTCCCCTTTAGCCTTAAGGTGATTAAATTTGTTCTAAATGACATTAATGACACTTTTTGTGTAAATGGGCCTTTAACTTAAAGATTTATTTAGACTTGTACAACCTACTTGAGGCATATTAATATTAGTATGAAAAAGAGTATACCGTGTGATCAAAAAAAAAATAAATTAGAGTAGGCGGTGATTAAAGTCCTTCAGATGGTAATCCTGATTTTTGACATCACATGTCAGCGGCAACTTTGACAGGTTTGCGTTTTATTCCTTTTGAGTGAAAAAATGTTCACTTTAGAGCAGAAAATTTTTATTGCTGTACAAGAGGAAAACGGTTATTTTCACTTTCAGTTTGTGCGGAAATTTTCCAGCCTAGATTCCCAGCCAATGTGTTGCCAACTGTATACTCGTTTGCATATTAATGTGCATTAAAGTAGTCGTTGAAAGAGATCATTTTAAGATGGCAACTATGCAAAAATTCAAACAATCCTAACGTCAATCTTCCCTAAAAATTATTTTCTCAAATCGCAGGTAGCAAGAAATAATTAAAATTAACAACGTAATTAACATAGGGTGGCAAACATAAAAGATTTTTGTCATTATTAATGTCATTAAATTTGTTCTGAGTGACATTAATGACACTTGTTGTGTGAATCTACCTTTAAATTAAAGATGCATTTAGACTTCTACAACCTACTTGATGCACATTAATATGAAAAAGAGATTTAATCGACGCCTCTAATTTATTTTTTATTGGATCGCACTGTAATTTCAGAGACTTTTTGTTCAATTTTCAATCAATTTTCAGTTGGAGCCTCTTTTGCTGCACTGGATGAAACAATCGGCTCCTGGATGGTCAAGCAATGCTCAAGTCATCGGAAAAGCCTGGATAAGAGAAGGTTTGAAACCAAGATGTATCACTCGGGACTTGAAGTGGGGCGTCCCGGTGCCCCTCAAGGACTTCAAAGACAAGGTTTTCTATGTCTGGTTTGACGCCCCCATTGGATATATGTCGATAAGTAAGGCCTACACTGAGAAGTGGGAGGAGTGGTGGAGACCCAAACCAGAACATAAGATAACATTGTATCAGTTTATGGCGAAAGATAATGTACCGTTTCATGCTGTTATGTTCCCGGCTTGTCTTTTGGGGGCCAACAAAGGCTACATTAAAGTTTCGCATATTATGTCGACTGAGTATTTGAATTACGAGGACGGTAAATTTTCAAAATCGAGAGGAGTTGGGGTTTTTGGAAATGATGCTAGAAATACAGGCATTCCGAGTGACGTTTGGAGGTTTTATTTGTTGTATGTGAGGCCCGAATCGCAAGATTCGAGCTTTAGTTGGTCAGATTTGGCGACGAAAAATAATTCCGAATTATTGAATAATCTCGGAAATTTCATTAATCGGTATTTTTTAAATTTATTTCTCCTAATTTATTAATTGCCTATGATTTAGAGCGCTTGTGTTTGCGAAAAACAATTTTAATAGCACTGTCCCTGAAATGCAACTCACGAAAGATGATTTTACTCTTTTGGTTTTGTGCACAAGGGAATTAAAAAGTTACGTAAACTGTCTTGAAAAATGCAAATTGAGAGATGGCATTAGACATATTTTGTCCATCTCGCGTCTTGGAAATCAATACATGCAATTTAACCAACCTTGGGTACTCCTCAAGGGAACCCCCGAAGAGAAGTAATTTTTTGTTTGGTAAAATTCATTTTTGGCATCCGTTATTTGCCGTAGGGTTCGTGCAGCAACTGTTGTGGGGCTTTGTTGCAATATTGCGGCTTTGTTGGCAACACTGTTACATCCATACATGCCTGACACCAGTGATACATTAAAGAAACAGTTGAATTGCGCAAACACTGCTCTTACACCAGAGTGAGTTTTTTTATTATTTTATTACTATTTTTAGTTTATTTTTGTTGAGGAAAATAAATTTATTGACGCTTAAGGTTGAACTATACTGGGAAGTAGTGCGTTTTTTGGCGCCATATTTAGCGCCGTAGCCGACAACCCAACATACACTTGGTCAAACAGAATTGGTTCATTTCTTCGTTTCTTTGTGATATACCTACCAGTTTTTCATATTTCTACTAGACACTAGAGGGCTTTTTTCAAGATCTTGAGCTTCAACAGTTAGGTAAACAAGCACTGAAGGGTAGAAATGACAATACCATCATAAAATAATAAAACTCTTAAACCCGGCTTCGGCTAGGCAAACGTTGAAACTTATTTATTTAGAAAAATTTTAGCACTGAATTTTAGTAAGGAGGTCGATCATACTAGAACCAACAATTTTTAATTTTGATGAATAGTTACTATTTATGTATGATTTTTGCTCCTGAACCAACTTTATCTTTTTTCCTAGAATTCTATAGTTTCCTTGGAATTAAGGCTTACACTTTAATTTATTTCTATTATAAATTATACAGGGTGCGCCAGAACACGCGCCCCAGAGAAAAATGCCATATAAGTAAGATACCAGGAACATGGAAAAAATGTTAAAAAATTTTATGTATAAAAATTTCGAAGTTATGAGGGTTTAAAGTTTGTACTTTGACTCTATTTATTTCTGTTGGAAAAATAATTTTCCAAGTTTTTTTGCTATTAAAAAAGGAAACAAGGAAGCTGTATCCTAAATTGTAACTCTGTTCAATGTTATTTGTGGCTTTTATTGGCAAAATTTTTGTCTTTTTACTAAATAATTGTAAAAAAACGTATACAAGGTCATCAGTATCATTAAATAGATTTTAAAAAATGTCAAATGTCAAAAAATAAATGTCAAAATTTTTTGACAGATAAAATTTTTTAAACATTTTTTTTATGTTCCTGGTATCTTACCTTACTTGAAAATTTTCTCTTTGGCGCGAGTTCTGGCGCACCCTGTATTTTAGAAGCAGTTCTTTTTTAGTACATAGTAATCTATTTACTGATTTATAAAATTATATTTGAATTTTTAACAAAATTGCTTTTTTCCCCATGCAACATATTGATAGTATGCATCTTATCTTATGCAAATGTAAATCCATTTTGTCACATACATTTCATTAATATTAGAAATTTAATTTAACAATAACATATCAATCAGAAGATGCGAAACTGAATTGAAAAAAAACTTATTTTTGGTTGCATTTTTGACAATTTTAAAATAATTAATTTTGCTTTGTTTCTCTTAATTTCGATGACTAAAAACAGAAAGATAAATAGATGGTGACTTCACAATGATAGTTATAATAAAATGAATCGGAACAAACAAAAAGTATAGTACATAATTTATTAAAAATTATTAATTCTTTTATTTGAAATTTTTGCAATTTTTAGTCTTTTTACAGAAAATTAAAAAATTACAATTTTCAAACTATTTACTCTACCGTTCTGTAGATGGCATGTCTCTAGCCAGTTCCAAAATGTACCACCAGAAGAATTTGTCGCTTGTGTACAGAAGGAAAACTAAAATAAGCTTTCAAACGAAAAAAAGAAAAACTGAATTTTTAAGGAATACAGTAAACAAATTGTTTTTTTTTTACAATTGGATGTTGTTCCTGAATTAAAAAAGTACTTCTCACACATAGTAACACAGAATTTCTATCTCATTTTGAGTATTTGTAACGGATTGCAAAATTCAATAGTTTTTATTTTTTATAAAAAAACCCATTATTTAAATTGCATGAAAAAAAATACAGTAACATAAGTAGGTAATCTACAATACACCAAAAATAAATCAAAAAAATTTTCCCTACAGTTTTGTTATAAAAAAATTAAATGGCCAAAAATAGAGGTTTTTTAAATTTATTTTTAAACGCCACAGACAAAAAAAAT